TCTTTGGGCTTTTCAGGTAGTAAAAAAAGCTCTCCTCTGAGCTTATGGGGAAGAAAAAGTTTCCTATGGAAGCTTTTGACCTGGGGACAGCTGAAATGCTAAGTCCAAGCGGTAGGAGAAAGTAATTTCTCCCTGAGGCAAAAATGGGGGTGTAAGAAGTCAAAGTTTAAAGTTGGGAAGTTTTGGGAAAAGTTGGTCTTTCTCCTGGGGGGAAAGAAATCTTTCTCTTAAGCTATAAAGCTTTTCTTGGAAAATTTGGGGGGGGAAATCTCTCTAAAAAGCCTTAATCTTTCTCAAAAGCTCTCTTAAACTTAAAAACTAAATTTGTCCTGAGAGAGGACAAAAATTAGAATCACCTGAAGATATTAGTATGGGGACCACCTGTGATTAGCTCTAAGGGAAAACAACAAATTTAAGACAGCAAAAGACCTCCTCCCCCAGCACAGCCAAGTGCAGACCATCTCAGACACCTGCACTCAGGCCCGTGGTCCTGATCATCCTCTATTCGGACCTGCTGGGTAAAGCCACGAGGAACCCCAGAACGGGCTCCCACAAGTGTCAGGTACCTTGTTCAATCAGTCTCCATCTTATTTTTTGAGACAGGCTATCTCACTGAATCTGGAATTCACCAATTCAGCTCGACAGGCTGGACAATAAGCCCCCCCAATCATGCTGTCTCTACCCCAGCACTGAGATTACAAGCATGCCCCACATGAGCAGCTTTTTCATATTCTGAGCACCTAAACATAGGTCCCTCATGCATAGCAAGCATTTTATGATCTGAGCATTTTAAAAATTTATACTTTATTTTCCTCAAATATTCACATTTTTACATGTATTTTATAGTTAATAATATACCCCAATTTTTCAAAATTCAAAAACTAAATGTGGCTAGTGGCTACCACAATGCACAATGAACTTCTACATATTTTTAGGTAACAATAAAGTAGAAAGGCATACTGCATTTGTATTTAAGCAACAGCATTAAAAAGGAAAAACAGAAAGATATTATTTTCTATAAAGTGCACACTGATAAAATCCTAAGCTCTATTTTTTAAACATAGGCTTTTATGAACTTTGGGACCCTAAATGAGTTGACAACGACACTCCCAGAAAGCAACAGTTATTATTAAAACTCTCAATGCTGGGTATGAGATAAGTTCCTTACAAGCAGTTTGTCAGGGAGGCCACACAGGCCCCTAAAACAACACAGGATGCTAACTTGACCCATGGTTGCCCACCATAAATAAAATAGGGTAGACCCTATCACTTAAGACTTCACAAGGTAGGACATAGAGAAATCACATAGATTTCCCTAAGTCACATGACTTGCCTTTACCAATCTGATACTAGCAAGTACTAGCAATGAGAGGCATGATAGACATTCACACACAGGAACTTCCTGGAATGCTACCACTTAGAAGACAGCTTCCAGGCAGTAATAAACTTTCACCGAGACTCCTGGATGATAGACATACAGAAGGAGAAAATATGAAGGGTAAGACAATATCACAGCGCCTCAAATATATGCCAACTGCCATAGGTGACCACCCATATTTACAGTAACAAAACCACTGCCCAGTTAGCCCACAGAATTTGGAATAGACTGTTACTACCACACCATTACAGAGTGGTCTGTATAGCAGCACTGGGTAGTGACACAGCCAGAAAAGGACATGTGTTTAAGAAATCTATGACTATGAGATATGTATGTAACTGAGAAGATGGAGGCTGGGGGAGTGGGCAAGCAGAGAAAAGAACAGACATGTGCATGTCTGGAGACCCTGCTAAGACTAAGGATTTTGAACCTAGCAGTTTGAAGCTAGCCTGAGTAATATTTCACAACCTCATCTGAAAATCAAAAAAATCTGCAACTACCAATCTGTGAAGTCCCAATTACATTGGAAAGGAAAGGGAAAGGAGGGCGGGGGTTGGTGAAAAACGCAAGCAAACAAAGTCAGAAAAGCCATGCATATACAATAAGCAAAATTACAGCTTAAAAAAGAGAAAAGCTAAAGACTCTGAAAATACTGGAAACCGAGCTGAGTCCTGTAAGAATCGAGGGAAAACTAGAGGTTGAGAGAGAAGGCAGGACAAGGCGCTGCACCTACTTCGTCACTCTCGTCCACTTCGATCCCTCCGTCCTTGTCGTCATCCATTTGTTTATGGATTGTCTGAAGCGCTTCCAGACTAAATCTGTCTTCTTCAGTGAAGCATGGTGGACTCAGTGATATACAGGGATCTAAAACAGAACAGAAGAGAATCACTAACTTGCCATACTAGAACGCAGGCTATAGACAGATGTAATCATGAAGGGGGGGGAGGGGAATCAGACATCAAAGACCAAGATCTTTTGTCTTACCAGAATATATGTTAACATTAAAGATATAATAAACAAGCCGGGCGGTGGTGGCGCACGCCTTTAATCCCAGCACTCGGGAGGCAGAGGCAGGCGGATCTCTGTGAGTTCAAGGCCAGCCTGGGCTACCAAGTGAGCTCCAGGAAAGGCGCAAAGCTACACAAAGAAACCTTATCTCGAAAAACCAAAAAAAAAAAAAAAAAAAAAAAAGATATAATAAACATAGTTGAGTAAAAATAATTAACAATAGGCAGCAATATCTCAATTTATCTAACAGTTCCTCATCTTTCAAGATCTCTTTGTATCGAATCTCTCTAAAGAAAAAGAGATTTCTTTATACTGAGAAGAAAAAATTAACACAGAATAGATGATGCTTCTGTTGTACAACCCAGTTTAATTAAAATGAAAGATTTAGGAAATATTCAAAATAAGTAAGGAAGGCAATTGTAAAACAACTTTCTATTTATGATAATCCAAGAGTCTGTCTATCTGGCTTTTCATTTTACATTTCATTATACATTTTAAGGTCAACAAGATTTTTTTTAAGGAAACTTTCTTCAAATCTTATTTCTCATGCTTTCCTTAACATCTTCTTATTGGATACACCCCTCCCAATGGAAGGCTGAACATCACATTAAAGTTGTCAGCCTGCCATGCATGAGCCATTGTGTTTCATTGCCAGGACTGAAGAAAAGAGAATAATATAACAAAAAAAAAAGAAAAAAAAAAAAGAAGCACTACTTAGAGGGCATATGTCATATGAGGGTCTTCAAAGACTTAAGGCTAGGTGCATGAAAGGTCCCTTCTGATGCTCTGACTAGCAAAAGCCTATATGCCAAACTGAGATAGCACTGAGCTTTTTAACTCACATCCTATATGGATAACTGGTAGACTATAAAACTGGTAAACTTATTGCTTACTATTTTACTAAATCATTTAAATAGTATCATTTAAAATTACAGAATCAGATGCATTTCTAGATGCAGTGACTTTAAGTTTTAACATAATTTAATAAACAGACTGTCACAGTGTAGTTATCTCACCAATAGGTAAAATTTGGTCCTGTTGTGAACTGTCAACAGTTAACTGTATACAAACCATGTCAATGGTCTCAGTAATCTCACTCATCTCTAAAATAAAGCAAAGAAGCCAGATACTTTCTAAAGTCTACTGTAGTAATAAAAGAATATCTAATATGGTATTTATAAAAAATAATTACAGCAAAGTGCCTGAGAATCACATTTTATTTTATTTTCTAAAAGATAATTCATATCCAAATATTTATATGTTCCAGTTTATAATCTGAAAAATATCCAGGTAATTTAACATTTTTAATAGTTTCAATTTGAAGTCTAATTTTAATTTCTTTAGTGCTAAAAGAAAATAGAAAAGGAAACTATAGAAGGTGGGAAATGCAATTACAGGTCACATGTAGCTCAGTGGTTAAGAGCACTTGTTGCTCTTCCAGAGAACCTGGGTTCGATTCCCAGCACCTACATGGTAGCTCACAAGCATCTGTAACACCAGTTCCAGAGCATCTGATGCCTTCATCTGAACTATGCAGGAAACAAACACACAAGTGATGGGCAGAGAAACATGAAGGCCAAACACCCATACACATTTAAAAAACAAAAACAAAAAAAGATTGGGGGGGGGGATAAAGAGTACATGCTTAAACCAGCTGTGGTGGCACATGTCTTTAATCCCAGCACTCAGGAAGCAGAGGCAGGTGGATTTCTGTGACTTGGAGGCCAGCTTGGTCTATATAATAAACTCCAGACAAGCCAGAACTACATAGTGAGACCTTGTCAAAAACACCCAGGGCTGGAGACAGTTCAGTCATTAAATGAAGGGCTTGCAACCAAAACATCAAATATTCAAAACACTAAGATTTGCTAAAACCTAAGAATTGGGGGGAGGGGCATTTAATAATGATCAGTTATGATTCCTATTTATGAAACAACCAGAACATTGATAGGGCTTTGAGTTCAAATTCGTGTGTAGTTAGTGGACAGACTCAAAGTAAAAAAGGCAAGCTTTGGGGTTGGGGATTTAGCTCAGTGGTAGAGCGCTTACCTAGAAAGTGCAAGGCCCTGGGTTTGGTCCTCAGCTGGGAGGGGAGGGGGTAAATAAATAAATAAATAAATAAATAAAGTGCAATCTTTCACACTCCAAAACACCAAGTAGAGTCAGGATCTACATGATGCACAATTACCTCCAACAGATGACTTTCTATGCATCTATTTTGCTACTTAGAGTGACAGAGTTTGTTACAAGTGATACAGAATGGATAAATATAGACCTACACTCTGACCACACGCGTTTTATAGTTCAATTACCTAAGAGGCATTAACAGTGAGAACTGTGCAGCCTTTAGAAAGTCTCAGGATAAAATTAAGAGTAACACATAACCTAGAAAAATGCATCAACAGATGAAAATTGGGCCAGGCATGGCCATACATGCCTATAATCCCAGTACTCCAGAGGCATAGGCAGGAGGATTACAAGACTAGGTTACATAGCTAATGCCAGGACAACCAGTGCTATAGAACAAGATCCTGTCTCAAAATCAATTACTTAATTAATTAAAATTAAGATAGGTAACTATTTACTTCAATGTATGTCATAAAAAAAGTTAACTCATTTAATAAAACACTGTCAAGGTCTACTTCAGAGTCCATGTTTTCAACAAAAATCTTTCACAAGTACTATGTAATATACACTTCCTTGCCCAAACTCCAGTCCATCTACTAACCAAGTCTCATCTATTGTGTACCTACTGTGGTAGGCACTGGAAATGGCACAGTGAACAAGAGACAAACATTCTACCCTATTCCTCAAGGAAAGACAGATTAAGATGAGTAAGGGAAGGTTACAGACATTCTAGAAATGGCAAGCAGTTAGGAAAAAGAAGGCAAAGAGCAGGTACAAACTGTTAAAGAATTTGAAATGTTTCATTCGTATTTTCAGATCATTCTACCTAACCCCTCCTGTTATGCTATACTCTGTCTGTGGCTTTATGTATCAGTCTGTCCACACAGCTAAGCACACAAACAGGACTGTGTTCTTCCACTTCTTACAAGTTCATAACGAGGATTTTGCTGGGTATATTTAGATCTGATTAATTCTGACGCTGGGTACTTTAGATCACAAACTTCTGTGTCATGCAAAGCGAAGACAGGCATTAGGAATTAAAGACAATGAAGTCACTAGAAATTAAAATGAGTATCATATACTTTTAAAGTTCAGAATCTAGTGAGAAGACATGCAGATTCCTACATTATATTAGGAACTATTAAGAACATTAGTTGCATGGTGTCATGATTTGAGAATGCCCCTCAAAAGCCTTGCCCTGGAAATAATCCCCAATGTAATAGTATTGGGGAAGGGGCCTAACCAGGGGTGTTGGGCTATGAGAGCCCATCTTCAGGAAAAGATTAATGCTAACAAGGAGCATGAGGATGACTTTGACCTTTGGCCCTCACTTGCCCTCCTTCTAGTTCCTCCTACCTCAGACACTCTTGTCCAGGATGCTTGTACCTAAGTGCCAGCTCCCTGATCATGAGCTTTCTGACCTCCAAAACTGTAAGAAATGAATTTCTGCTGTTTACACATTGCCAGTTTTGTGGCATTCTGGTACAGCAGCAGTGTAAAATGCACTAAAATAGTATGTTATGAGAATATGGTCAGAGTCTAATCCAGACTACGAAAGAGAATCAGCCAATTTTTCTACAAGTAAATTTAGAAAGTTCAAAAAGCCTGATACCTGATGACCTTGAGGAGAGAGAAAAGCATGCCTGAAAGAAAATGTTCAGTGACAGGCAGAGATTATGTGACATCAGACGCATGCTAATGGTCCCTGTGTATGGAGTACAGAGCATAGGAAAGGGGGTAAGAGATGGTTCAGTGAGTAAGCGTACTCGCTGTGCAAGCCTGGTACCCTGAAGTCAATCCTCTGGCACCCAGAAGTCTATCCCCAACCTGACTTTGATCCCTGGAAGTGGAAGACAACCAATTCCACAAAGTTATCCTCTGGCCTCAACAATGCACACCACCATGGCATATGTGCCCTTCCCAACACACACTATGTACTCCCACATACGCAATATGATTATTTTTTAAAGGAATACTATTTCCTTTAAAGTATAATGACTTAAGACCTACAAATTCCAACAGTCATGAATTCTTAACTCTATTACCATCTCTATGCCTCTTGTTAATTCTTTCTCAATCGTTTCTAGATTAATTCAGCAAAAAATATTTGTTTACTGTATTATTAATTGGCTTCTCTTGGGTTTTTTTGTTTTGTTTTGTTTTGTTCTGTTTTGTTTTGTTTTGTGGGAGATGTTGTTGTTTTTGTTTTTTCAAGTCAGCATTTCTCTGTGTAGCCCTAGCTGTCCAGAAACTGTAGACTAGGCTGGCCTCGAACTCAGAGATCCACCTGCCTCTGCCTCCTAAGTGCTGAGATTAAAACATGCGCCACTATTGCTCAGTTTATTAAATGGCTTTTAAAAATAAATGTTTGGAGAAATATTTTAAGAAATCACTGAGGGGATTAGAAATCCAAGCTGTACCAATGGATAAATCCTCATTCCTTTATGGCTAAGGTTAAATCTAAGTAGGCAGTACAAATTTAGTAATATTGCACTTCTACTCAACTACTTCATGTTCATCTGAGGCTTACTATGACGTCCACTCACTGTCAGATATTACTGTTTACTTACTGAACAAAATACCCAGCATACTACGCAAAAATAACCAAGCAGAACTTTAAAATGTTTAACATAGCCTTCACAAGGCCCCTGCAGTAGTGAAGGGAACTGTGATGAAACTCCATGAGGTCAAGGACTAAGTCTGTTCTGACTCTACCAATACCATCCATA